TTATTTTACGTAATGAATAACAATTAAAATATATACAAAATTGCAATATATAGTTATTAACATCAAATGCTTAACATAAAATTACATATAACGCAGAATGTAACAATATTATTTATAAACAGAATAAGATAAAATAATGAGATATTTGAAAAGAAAATATAAAGGTTAACTTGTGCAGATGGAGATTATTTGATTAGGTGAAGTGTTGTGAATATCTATGTCATTATTAATTAAGTTAAAGTTAGAGGACATAAGTAGAATAGGCAAATTTAAGAAAGAATTAGATTTAGGAGTAGGATAATTGAAAAATAATTGTGAACGCGTAGATAGCCTTAGAACATTAAAGGATAGTTGGTTAGGAATAAGAGGACAGTCTATAGAATTATTGCAAAGTTTAAATAAGAACATAATTGTACAGACATGTCGACGTGAGGCAAGGGAAGGAATACCAAATTCTTTTAGTAAAGTGTTGTGGTCAAAGCCACGTTCAGGGTAAATTTTATATGTTTTATAATAAAGGTATTTCAGAAATTTTCGCTGAACCTTCTCTATCGCATCAGAGTTGTTGATTTGATGAGGATACTAAATAATCGAACCATATTCTAATTTTGAACGTACATTAGAATAGTACATGCAAAGAAGTGCATTGTTAGAATTGAATTGTTTACAATTTTTCAGTATCAAACCTAAAGATTGATGTGCTCTATTACAAATATCAGTTATATGATCAGTGAAAAACAAACCAGAATCAAATAAAACTCCTAAGTCTGATATTTTATTACATCTATCAATGCTGGTGTTAGAAATTTTATAATCAAAATTAGCTTATGTGAAAAACTAAGAATCTTGCACTTTGATATATTTAAAAGTAATTTGTTATAGACACACCAAGAGTGGAAAGAGTCAAGTTGAGACTGTAATAATAAGCAGTCATCAATAGAATTTATTTTGAGATATAATTTGAGATCATCTGCAAATAATAAATGTGGACAGCTAATAATTTTAGATAAGTCATTAATAAAAATAATAAATAGTAGTGGACCAAGAATGGATCCCTGAGGAACACCTGAACTGATTTTTTCAATATTGCTCAAGAATCCATTAAGATAGACAAACTGTTTATGATTATGAAGATAACTTTTAAAAAAATAAATAAGTGAAAAATAAATACCTATCTTAGATAATTAATTTATTATAATAATCGCACAATTTTTTTACTTTATTTTACTATTAGCTCAAGAAGACTTTAAGCATCAAGAAACTCAGACCGATTCTTCTCCAATACCAGGAGTATCCTGACAAGCACAGAAATCTAATCTGGCGTTTTCTTCTTAAACTTCCAAACAACTTTACAGTTTATAAATCTTTGGCAGATCGTGGCCTGCACAACAGTTTCAAAAACTTGGAACAAACCCATCCGATGAAAAGTGTACGTACCATGAGAAACATGAAAACTGTCTTATCTATATTGGCACATTGGTGTCCATTGTTTGCTCAAGTCGAATATTTACCATCGTTGATATTTCCTTTTGTCAAGATTTTCGAGAATAATTCCTTGGTAACGTTTGAAGCTATATACACAATTTTGGTGAACTACTGCCAATTTTGGTTTGAGTACCATCCTTTGCCTCCGGCCAATATTTTATTGATTGTTGAGAACGTTATAGGAGAGCATTGTGAAATGTTGATAAATTACTACGATGATTTACAAATAACGCCACAGGAATATGCTTGGCCTATTTTGAGTACTGGTTTTTCTGAAATTTTGGATACGAATCAGTGGTGCAGTCTTTGGGACAACATTTTGACCAACGATACTTGTTTTTTACTCTTGGCAGTCGCTGCTTACAATATAGTCCAGAAAAACGTTATCGTACAACACAAAACCAAACAGGATTGTTGTGATTTCTTTCGCACCCAGAACCATTTTGACATGTCCTTGTTTATCAAACTTATATACGAATTGGATAAGAGCACATCGGATGATAATCATCCAAAGTATTTTTTAAAAGACTTTGAATCTTTACCAAATGATACATATACAGTGTTCACGGGGTATCCTAAAGGCATAGTTGAATATCAGATGGATAATTTGGACAGGATTGAACGTGAGGAGCAGGAAATTCTGAGGCAGGAGATGGAGGCTTTGGAGAAAATCAAATGCCAGCAGGACAGGATCAGGGATGGAATCAGCAAGGAGGAGCATGCTAAAAGACTAGAAGGTAAGATAAAGAAATAGTAATAATAGACTTGCAAAATTCATTTCAAGATAATTCTTATAAATTTATTTCTATTTCAATTTATTAATAAGTTTTCATGTTTCAGCACTTGGATACAAATGCAAACGACTAATCGAAGAACAGGAAAAACGTTTATCCGAAAGGAGATTTGGTATCTTGGATATTCAGAAGGATTTAGAAGTCAGCGAAAGGATATTGCACACTGATGCTCGAACCAGGCTGCTTACTGAAGAGGCCAATCGCAGAGCATTTGAGAAGTGGAAGCAGGCACAGACATCAGAGAATAAGGTAACTTGGAAACTAGAACCAACTAGAAGAAAATTTTAAGTAATTAAGTTAATTTTATATATTATTTTAGAAAACTGGTAGAGTCACCGAACACACAATGATGGAGGATCTGCATGTACGTTACAACCGATTGCTGGACAGGCAGCTAGAGCTGGAGGCAAAAATGGAAAGAAATCCAAGACATGATGTTTGTAATAGATTAAGGAAGACATCTGATTTTATTAATAGTTTGCCAAATAAGGAACGTAGTAAGACGGTTTGCTTTAATCCGCAATCCAGTAGAGATTGGTATTTATAAAATAATAGAGGGTGTTCTAGTCTACAATTGCTAGGAAATGGATTTGTTTTTGGGATATTTTTAATGTTTAACTGTTCAAGAATATGTGTACGGAAGGATTGTTTAAAATTTGAGGTATTTTCAGAGATATAGCTGTTTAATCACGATCACGATAATTTTCCTATCTTTTTCGATACGATACCCACGATTTCTCAACTTCTACTGGACCGATTTCCTTGAAATGTTTACAGAGTCTTTTTATTGACTTCTCTTCAGTATGAAATATTCCCAATCGCTCATTCCCAAATTCCGATTTGTACTATTCTTAAAAAATTCGAGATTATCAAATAAAGTTGTAACTAGTGGTGTATGGCATCGTGCCTTAAGGCAAATTGCTGGAACTTTCCGTACAATAATGAAATATACTTAGAATAAAATTTAGTAAACAAAATATTGTTTGGAAATCAAAACAAAAAATGAAAAAAAAGGTTTTTCCCAAAAGCAATCGTTTCGTCTACTCAAGCAAAACGTCTTTTGGATCATTCAAATCGGATGCTCCGTTTTCTAAAAAACACAATTTCTATTTTCTGCACTCTTTACTCCGTATCTCCGAAACGGCTGATCCTGCCTTTGCCAAAAAATAATTAGCACATCTCTCTATCAATACTATAACTTACCCTACAGAAAGTTAAAAAGTCTTTATAACATTGTGATGAAAACTATCATAACCGTCCTCCCTCTATTTATTACAGTTTTTATTTTTTTCCTAGTTCGATAATTTAATGCCAACGTCCGATGCAGTGTTTCGATTGAAAACTGTTAAAAATTTGTTAGACGAAGCCGAACAAGAACTATTCAAAGTATCGTCCAGTACACACATTGATCCATATCATCCATATACTGGTAATGGATTCAGACCAAGTAAGCAATAAAAAAAAAATTGATTGATATAACAAATTATCTGGGATAAATATAATAAGATTCCGGGTAATAGATAGAAATTTTCACTGTTTTTACTACCAATAAACAAGCATAAGAATGCGTTGCCATGACAACGCTATCCTATGAGGAAGAATTGCTCCATAATTGTTATTCCCAATATTGTTTCTTAATTTTGTGTTCTTATAGCGGATCTAAATATTTCCATTATTCTTTAGTATACATATATCTATTAGATTCGTTAATTATAATTATATTATATATAGTATTTAACTATTATAAATAAATAACATTTTCAGATAGTGCATGTACAAACATCGGATACAAGTTTGTCTGAGAGGCGTAATTTTTAATAACGATTGTGATATTAATGTAGTCAACCGTATTTTGTATTTGCATAATTTTTGTAAGCAATATTTTTTTACTTAAGTTTTAATTATTTATATTTTAATAAAAAATATATAGCAGCAATAAATACTGTTGCGATTAAATAATGGCGATTTTTAATTTGTGGTATAAATTTAATGATGTTAAATAAATATGGAACTTACCGTACCGTAAATAAAATTTCGAAAAATAAAAATAATCAATAATTGTTTAAAATAATTTCAAATAGATTATTTATTTTAAATGCATACCGAAAACTCATAAGTGCCTATTAAAATTGGTATATATGTTTGTTTTTAGGAAATTTATTCAATTTTTTTTTAAATTTGTTCTTATTTGATAATTTTGAAATTTTTAGGAATTCGAAATGTTTTGGAATTTTAAAAATTATGAAATTTTTTGAGAATTCGGAAAATTCGGATGTTTTTTTATTTTTTATTTTCAAACTTTTGCAAAAAACGTTTTTTTCAAATTTTGATATTTTTCGAAATTTAGTTCTTTTTTGAGAATGATGAAAAATTTCGAAAATTTGAGTTTTTTGAAACTTTAATTTTTCTTGAAAATTTCTAATTTTTTTCAAATTTTCAAAACTACGAAATTTTTTGTAAAACTATTTTTTGCACACCGTCTACAAAAGCAAAAGGTTCTTTGAATTAATCTAATCAGGATCGGGAGTTATTTAAAAACTTGTATACATAAAAATATTTAATATTTGGCACATAATACATTAACAAGGTTTTGTAAAAAAATTAAGTAACAATAAATATATAAAAATGCTAAGAAGTATAATATTGGTATTATAATATTTAAATGCATGAAAGCAGATATGTAGATAAATACTTCTATGTTAGATTTAATATTTTCTAGACATTCGATTTACTGAGGTATTTGTTTTCTCAGAACTTTTTTGTAGTTTCTGAGTTTTAATCACAGTATGTAATAAGGGAATGAACAGGTACAGAAACTTTATCTTTGCCATTCAAGTCTTTTAACTCCATTACGACTAAACATTGCACGACATCTGCTTGCACTTTTTGTAATAAATCAACTGCAGCAGCCATAGTACCTGTAATAAAACATTATTTAAATTGTAAAATAAATATTCAAGTTAATAACAAATTACCTCCTGTTGCTAAAAGATCATCAACTACTAAAACTTTTTGTCCGGGCATTATGCTGTCTGTTTGCAACTCAAAAACATCCTAAATTATACATACATGTATTAATACACAAAATTTCCATATTCCATTATTTATTACCTCTCCATATTCTAATTGATATGAGACACTTGCAGTCTTTCCAGGCAATTTGCCTTTTTTTCTTATCGGTACACAACCTATTCCCAGTTCTGCAGCGATTAACATGCAAAATAGGAATCCTCTTGCTTCTAAACCGACTACACAATCGATGTGAGGGCAATGGGTTTTAATGTATGCTATGATAACGTCTTTTAAAGTTTTGCAGACAGGCCCTTTTGCGAGTGCTGAGAAAATGTCTCTGGGAGGAAAAAAACCACTAATTAACCAGGGAATAATTGAAATATTTATGTATTCTAAGAATTATTTAAATAGTCAAATATGGGGACTTTCAGATTGTAAGTATTATTGTATTTCAGATTGTAAATATTATATTTAATTCTAATGTATTTCTATGTTGGACTAATATCAATGTTTTACAGATTTGTTTTTACTATTGAATTGCTTGGAAAGGATTTTGAAATCTGGTTTATAAATATAATTAATTTGAAACTAATATAATAATATCTATTGAAAAAAGAGGAGAATACTGATACAAAAATGAGACAAAGGTAAAAAATTATAAAAATATTTATAGTAGTATTTGGTAATATAAGTAGAACAGATATTAATTATGTGAATTCACAACAAGGGTGTATTTAAACCAATGACACTGCAAACTTAAAGACTGATACAGATATTTAATATTTCAGTTTCTTGTCGTATTTTTTGGTAAATAGTAGCCAAATTTTTGAATGTGAAATAAAAAAAACTAAAACATGTGTCCAATAAATATTAGTCAAAGAACAATATAAATTGTTAATATAGTTTATATACGAGTCATGTAAAATATTTATATCAGTTTTATAAATTTAAGCCTGATATAAATATTCAAGCTAGTTGCAATACAGCCAAGATATTTTATCTCGCCTTTGTGAAGATAAATTGTTCAAATAAGCATCAATTATTACTATTATATTTTTACCTGAACAGAATTCCTTGCTTAGGAAAATCAGGATAACTCCTAATGTTATCCTCAATATATTTAATTTTCCCTTCGTATTCGCTCATTTTTATAATTTAATATTATTTCTATATAAACTAGAGATCACAAGTATAAATGACCCTGATTACGGAATCTTGGTATATTTAATATGTGTGTATTTTTTTATATTTATATCTTTAATGTTTGTCTGTAGTTGGAATGATTGAAAGAATTGATAAGACGTTTGGAGGTTGACAAATGTCAGAAGGAAAACAATTGTGAAGTTGGCTGCATACCAATATTTCCGGTGGTTTTAAAACTTTTTAATGGATATTTGAATATTTTTTTATTGGCTAATTTATTGGTTAATTAATTATATTGTATGTTATATCTTCAAAGTACTTTACTTTACTACTTACTAAACTTTCGGCCCACGTTGGTGAATAATATTTAATCCACATTCAAAAATATTCAATCAAATTATATTAAAAAACAGTACTTATCTCATTAATAATTAAATTTTATTTATTCTGAATAAATCGATCTGTTTATATTTAAAGTTTAACTTTTCGAGAATATGTACATATGTACAAGAGGATTTTCAAAATTTGAATTACTTTCGGAAATATACTGTTTTCCACCTTCGCGCAACTTCATACACGTTTTTCATGAAAACCATAGTGAAGTTGGGTGCATACCAATATTTCCGGTGGTTTTAAAACTTTTTAATGGAATATTTTTTTTATTTATTTCTTCATTGGTCAATTTATTGGTTGAATAAATACAATGTTAAACTAAAACTTCTTTACTTTACTACTTGCTAAACTTTGGGCCCACATCAAAATAATAAATAATATTTAATTTACATTAAAAAATATTTATTTAATTTATATTGAAAAAGTATAGTACTTATATCATTTAATAATAAAATTTTATTCATTCTGAATAAAAGTATACATTTTTAAATGGTTTATATATCGAATTTTATTAATTTTAGCAATTTATGTTAATATTTTTTGGTAAATTGATATAATATTTGGTATGTTAATATAATATATAAAACACAAATAGATTCAATCATTGCAATAATTTTACAGATATTGCTGATAATATATAATCTCGTTTTTGTTATTTCCATATTAAACCCATATATCTTGAATAAAATTTTTATCTTTTAAATATGATTTATTAAAAGTTTTTCATTTAATAATCACTGTGGCTTTCATAATTTGAAAACCAATGATTTATAAGTTGAACATTGCGCAGAAATTGAATGTTTTCACAATAAAGGAAAAATAAAATACAAAATTATATACATATAAAACTCCGGCATTGATTTTACGCAAATATTTAAATTATTTTAAGATTTTACGCAAATATTTAAATTATATACTTTGTTTTATATTTCAATATTCTAGAAGTTTTAATATACCATTCAAATAATTTATTATCGATTTGAACAACACGTTACATATATATATATAGAAATATACATATTAGATTTGGAAGTTGATAATTTATTTATTCATTAAAAGGCTCGATCTCAATATGTTATAATTATTTTATATAGTAAAATATACATACAATATACATATTTTTTGTAATATTCTATAAATATACAGTCCATTCGTAATTAATAAAACCAATCACGTTTTATTGTTACATATTATGTTTAATATGAGTTTCATTTTCCAATTTAAATATCCCGCCTTTATTGTCACATGGCTCACAACGTGACATTCAGTTCGTCTTTTCTCCGCCAGACTGATTCGATCACGTGAATTGTCATGGTGGTAGTAGTGACGGTCAGAATCTTTTCATTTTGATTGTTATTACTTTATTTTAACAAAATACCGTGAAAATCATTTGGTATAATTAATAAAGGTAGGTCCAATTCAATTTTTATATATTCTGCATAATTTGTACAAGTGCCACTTGTAGTGTGTAAGATAAAAATCTAATTTCAAGGAAAAAATCTTTGAAGATGCATAATTCGAGTTTTAATAATAATTGAAATAATATAAAATGAATTTATACGTTTGTGCAAGTTCTTTGTGTGATTCTGTACTTAAAAATGTGCATATTTAACACTTTTCATACAGTGCAAAACTAATTAAAACTCTTATATCAAATCATGTGACAGTTCCTCGTACAAGGTGTGGAAACAGCTGACTTTATCATACATTTATAATGAATCTAAATTATTAAATAATATTCCATATTTAACGAACAGGGTCATGCGTTTTATCGATTTATATCGAAAATGTATTATTATGAATTACGTCGTATAAAAAATTATGCTCAGGGGTATTGATTTGTTAGAAGTGATGTAAGCTTGTACAACAAAACTGACATTTATTGATAAAGGATTAATTTCCAAAAATCTTTCGCTATGTGAACAGTTTAAGTATGTCTGAGAGATATAAAATGATGAATACAATAATGTTTTTTTAGTAATTAATAATAACTGCTTGTTTGCATATGTAATAATGACTTGGATATTCTATATAGTAGCTTAAAATTTCGTAATAATAATGATTGAGTTTGTGAAATAAAAATATTGTGTTGATATTTATAAATTCTTATTTGTAGTACATATATTTGTATATCGATCTGTATTATAAATTTTTGTGTATGTGAATACAATATAAAATACTGATATTTTGTGGTAGTGGTATCAAATAGATCAATATAATTAGCCTGTATAATATATTTCCATTTATCGTTTTAGAACCACATCAAAATGACAGAGTATTGGCTGATATCTGCACCAGGTGACAAGACCTGCCAGCAGACATGGGAGACGATGAACAATGTCACCAGCAAACAAAATTCATTATCTGTCAACTACAAATTTCATATACCAGACCTTAAGGTGAGAAAAAACATATTTTATGATTGCTTTTACGACTCAATTTCTACCCCCCTACTACTGTCACTGATGTTATTTATTATTCACATAAAATTTTTTATGTTTTACAAATTGGGCTTTGTTTTAATTTCAGGTCGGTACATTAGATCAGCTCGTAGGTCTGTCTGATGATCTAGGCAAGCTCGATGTATTTGTTGAGCAGATCACTCGTAAGGTAGCAACATACCTTGGTGAGGTTCTTGAGGACCAACGTGATAAACTTCACGAGAATTTAATGGCAAACAACAGTGAGTACTCCGTTTAAGAATAAAATTATGATTTAAGTAATTTTCTTAATCATATTAAAAATTTTCCATCTTGAAAAGTGAATCCTCAGTTTTAATAAATAAATAAATAAATAGAATAAATAATTTTGAAGAAGCAGTTTAGTATTTGTTTGCAATTTTATAATATATCTTATTTTTCTAATTTTTAAGCTATTGGAATTTTTACAAAACCTTTCAATACATTATTTTTGTGTTATTATAACGTAATATTTTCAGGCATATTATGGCAATCAATTATGAACTTTGAAAATAGATTTTTATATGTGTCTTTTAATACATCAAACAATAATTTTTATTTCACTACTGTGTTTGTCTAAGCTAAATGCACAAATATTTTTAAATACCCCAAAATAGAATGATTTTTTTTTTCTAGTTACAAGTTGCATTTACACAATTTATAATGCAAAAGTCATAATTAATCATTTTTGTTTTTTTTTTATTATAGATGTTAGAAAAGCACATATAGAGTCTGAAAGAGTTCATGAATGAAACATTTACGTGTTTTTTTATTACAAAAACATGTATCTTGATATTAAATTTCAAATCGATTAGTGCTCTTTTGAGCAAACTACAATTATTTTTGAAAATTGTGTATGAATCAGAAGAATGATTGTTAAAATAATTGATCTAGTAATGCACATATATTGTTTGTGTATGCATTATGTATAATTTTTTTGCATTAAATACCTGAATATTTAAAATGATATATATAAAAATATTCAAGTTTCAAAAATGATTTTACACATGTCCAATTTTAAAAATTCTGCACCACAAAATCACCAAATAATTTGGTACCTTTTAGAATATCACCGATGTGTGCACATTGACAATTTACATAATGTGTTTTTGTCAGAAAAATCTGCACTCAATTAGTTGATGCACCTGAAATGCAGCTTGAATATTTTGATCAACATTCAGTTAATATACATTTAGCTGATCATAGGAAAATGTCTCGTAAGAAAAAATTATCTTCGAAAAGAAAACTATTGTGGAGAAGATCCAGATCCGAAGAATCTGAAGATAGGTCTGTCAAAGCAGATGATGTAAATAATCGTGCAGAATCTGCTGAAGTGCGTTGCTGCTATGCTCGCAGGAGGAGTCATAGAAACAGAAATGTTGAAAATAACCTTTTAGGCAACAATACAGACAAGAATGGTTTTTTAAACCAGGATAGTTGTTCTAGTTGCAGGCGCAAAAATTCCAGAAAGTTTTTCCATAAAGCATCTAGTAAAAGCTGTGTTGATAAAAATGAAGATGAAAACTTCAATATAGCAGGAGTTTCCTCACATAGTCCAGGATTAGATCCTGCTAAAGCCACTTCTACTGAAATATTGGAGCAGGAACTTAAAAAGTTTCCCAGGAGAAAATCAACTAGACGAGATAAACTAAACCATTCTGATGCTTTCGAGGAAGACTGTGGAAGGGAATCAAATATTATCAAAAAGGACCACACATATAAAATTAATAAAGACGTTTTCAAAAACACAGATTTTTGTAAATGTGATAATAAATCCAATGATGATTGTGATGCAGCCGATCAATTTGGTGATGAAAAACCATTCAGATCAGAGTCTGTGCCTGCAGATCTCGCTTTGTCTGTTGATAAAACTGAGGAAGATTTGATTGAAATTGTAAAAAGTGATGAAAACGTTGAGGATGATTGTAATTCGGATGACGCTTTTATTTTGAATCCAGGTATTATTGACTACTTTTTTGACATTGGTTGAATAATCACAATGGTGTTAGAAATATTTAAGATTGGGAATGATTTGGTGATTTGAATGATTTAATTTTGACTTACGATTGATTGATAATATCAAGATACAATGTTTTTATTTAGCATTACAAATCTAATAAAGCAGTCATGTGTCTGTTACCATTTTATAGAATCTGTAACATTACTAAAGGGCGTGTTCTAGCCTAGAAGTTTTAAAAATCTGTTTCTTTTTATATTTTCAAAAATTCTAAGTTACGTTAGATGCCACTAATTTGTCAAGACTATTATTGGGGCTGTTGAAACTAATTAGGCGTTTATCTCTGCAATCAAGATTTGACAAAACAATTTTTTTACCCAATAGGCGATCTGCCATCTTACATAACTCGCTTCCAGTGGGACATGGCCAAGTACCCAATCAAGCAATCTCTTCGTAACATCTCGGACATTATCAGCAAGCAAGTTGGACAGATCGATGCCGACTTGAAAACAAAATCTCAGGCGTACAACAATTTGAAAGGCAGTTTGCAGAACTTGGAGAAGAAGCAAACGTAAGGGAAATATTCATTTTAAGGAAATTATTTTCTTTTTTTTAACGCTGAATAATTTTTTTGTAATGTTTTTCAGTGGAAGCTTGTTAACCAGGAATTTAGCCGATCTTGTCAAGAAGGAGCATTTCATCTTGGATTCTGAATACTTGACCACTCTTTTGGTTATTGTACCCAAGTAAGAATAATAATGTTATTTTGATATTATATATATATATATATATATATATATATATACCACTTGTTAACTTCCAGTAGGGTAAGTTATAGTAATCGCAAAAAATCGAAAATGAAAATTTTTGGATGGAAAATTGATGTATGTGTGTGTGTATGTATGTGCGGATACAATTATTCGTCGACGATTTCGAGAACACGGAAGAAAAAAAATCGATTCATATTAATAAGTGCTGATTAGTTTTTGGCAAAGGCGCAGCCGTTTTGAAGATACGGGGCAAAAAGAGCCAAAAATGGTAATTCAGTTTTTGACAATGTCCAGCGGTTCAATAAAAAAAAAATCTGTTTATCAAATTATCAGATATTTTAGAGATATTAATAATGTGTACACATTTTGTGTCAATTCTTTTTGGTTTTCTTACCAAGGTTTTAATTTTGTTCACTTATATGGTTCGAAGAAATGTCCTCGACATTTTCGACATGGTGGAGAACTGGTTTGAATGATTGAAAAAACGTTCTGTTCGTTTTTGCAAAAGGCACGTCAAGCCGTTTCGGAGGTATGAAGCGCAAAGGGTGTAAAAATGGTTAGGCAGTTTTTGAGAGAATGGATCATACAATTAGATTAATTCAAGAAACATTTTGTTTGTGTAGACGGTGTAAAAAATGCTTCTACAGAAAATTTCGTAATTTTGAAAAGTTTCAAAGATTCAAATTTTCGAAATCTCGCATGTTTTACAAGAAAAAATTCAAATTTTCGAAACTTCGCATAATTTACAAGAAAAAATTCAAATTTTCGAAATTTTGCATGTTTTACAAGAAAAAATTCAAATTTTCGAAATTTTGCATGATTTACAAGAAAAAATTCAAACTTTCGAAATTCTGCATGTTTTACAAGAAGAAATTCAAATTTTCGAAATTTTGCATGATTTACAAGAAAAAATTCAAATTTTCTAAATTTTGCATGTTTTACAAGAAAAAATTCAAATTTTCGAAATTTTGCATGATTTACAAGAAAAAATTCAAATTTTCGAAATTTGTCATAATTTACAAGAAAAAATCAAATTTTCGAAATTTTGACGAAAAAGATAGTGAAATTTTAAAAAAACTAATTTTAAAATATTACGAAATTTTCAAAAACTAAAATGTTTTCAAAAATTTATAAATTTTCTAAAAATTTAAAAAAATCGGAATTTTTAAAAATTCCGAAAAACATCAAACTAATATATTAAATATTTTTCAAAATTTTGAAAAAAAATCTAAATTACCAAAAAATCAAATTAAAAACAACGAACAATTTTCTTCTAAACATTACTTGTTTGTAGAATATGCTAGTCGCCCAATTTAATGAACACTTTTAAATTTACAGAATTTATAATAAATAACCTATTTAAAAATATAACACAATAGTTATTAATTATTGAATAATTTTAATTGATTGATTATTCTCATTCTTCCAATGTTTAATTAAGGTACGGGTAGTACCAGCAATTTGCCTTAAGGCACGATGTCATGCACCACTAGTTTCGAGTCCTTGTCACCTGAATGAATGATCAATTTTTTCATTTGTTACTTTCAGGGCCTCTTTCAATGATTGGAACCTGCACTACGAAAAACTGACCGACATGATCGTACCGCGCTCTACACAGCTCGTCTCACAAGATCAAGATTACGGTAAATCATCTAGTCACCATCATCATCTAGTTTACATCAACTCATTTTTTATGTCCTTTGTAATTTCATATATCCTTTATAATTACATATATCCTTTCTCCCCTGTAGGTCTTTTCACAGTTTCGTTATTCAAGAAAGTCGTAGACGAGTTCAAACTCCACGCTCGCGAGAAGAAATTCATCGTCCGCGATTTCTCATACAATGAGGAGGAATTGGCGGCTGGCAAGAACGAAATCACCAAACTTGTCACTGACAAGAAGAAGCAATTTGTAAGAATTCATAATATGAATTACTGCAAAATTCTGAATTGGTAATAATCGATTGTTTTGTGTTTCTTTATCCAGGGTCCATTGGTTAGATGGCTGAAGGTGAACTTCAGCGAATGCTTCTGTGCATGGATCCATGTTAAGGCGCTACGAGTTTTTGTTGAGTCAGTACTCAGGTAAAATAATAGTAAAAGATGATTCTAAATTTTTTTTTATAAACTCACTAGCAAACCCGACGAACTCCGTTTCGCCACCAGATGGTTTCGTGAAAAAGATGAAGAAAATTTTTGTTTGTTTTATATTTGAAAAGGAAAAAATTGATTTTATTGCAGAACAGTAATGAATTTATTTCGATTACAAAAATGAAGTGTTTAGTTGAACTTCTCTAAGTAAATGAAAGTGAATCCGCAAATTATCCGTTTCATTGAAATGCTCTTTGGTAAACCATATTTTTTGTTTTTTGGTCTGACGTTAACAAAGCGGATGGTTGCCCAACTCGTGAACAGGCAACGTATAACTGCCCATATGAAAAACAATGATCTTCTAAATAATCTATTTGAATTTTATCCCGCAAACACTAAGCGATTGACCTTGTGACTTGTTAATTGTCATTGCGAACGCAAGGCGAACTGGAAATTGCAATCGTTTGAAGTCAAACGGAAGACCAGTCGGAATCATCGGTATGTCACCAAATCGCCAGCAATTTTTGATTGAATGGTGAAATTCATTGTGTCTACATAATTATTCTTTGCGGCAAGAATTGCTCGTTGACTTAACCAAACATAATTCTGATAATTCTCACTAATGTCATTACTCGAATTTTTAATTACGGTGCGTGAAGTTCCAGCAATTTGCATTAAGGCACGATGCCTTGCACCATTAATTTCTTAAGCTATAAACCTTGCGGAGCCCGAGACCTTTTCAACGAATACAAAATTGTCGAAATCGGTTCGTGACTTCTGGAGTTAAACCATCAGGAAGGAAAACCCGACTTATTTTTATATATATGTAGATTATTATTCAAAACAAGATAAATTAAATGTGTTTGAGCAAATTCTATTCGAAATTGAAATGTTTAGATTTAAATTGAAGCGATAACTTTATTTTTGAACTAAACAGTTGAAAATTTTATCTAAATATCTAAATTTCAATTCCAATTCAAGTCAATTCTTACACATTTCGGGAAGTTCATGCAAATTGCCTTAAGGCTAAATGGCACTTTCAACTAGTTTCTTTTTCTTAGATACGGCTTGCCTGTAAATTTCCAAGCGATAATCTTGCACCCAAATAAGAAGAGCATCAAGAGATTACGAGATGTGCTCAATCAATTGTACGGACACTTGGACAGCAGTGCTCTACAAAGCTCCGGTGCTTCTGAGGTACGATTTTTTTCTTAATCATTATTAGATCATTTTTAGAATATTAAATATTTAAATGCATTGTTTAAAATTCAGAACGTTGATATTCCTGGTCTGGGTTTTGGCCAAGCTGATTACTATCCATATGTCTACTATAAACTGAACGTCGATATGGTTGACAACAAAGTTTAAAACAAACAAGATGTAAAATTTAAGCCAATTATTAAATCACACACAAAAAACATATATATGTATATGATGATGAAGCTGATCGAATGAATCCGTACTCAGATATGTTAAATGTAAAAAAATTTTAATCAAGTATTATTAAATCATATTTTATCTGTATAATCAAAATTTACCGAATCACTTGCATTTTTTTATAAGTACGGTTGAACCGTTCAAGTATTTTATAAGTGATGTCTCTGATTGTGTATTTTTCAAGGCACTTGATTTTATGTTCATTGTTTTAATATCAATGTGCCTTCTCGGTAGTATATAAATTTTACATAGTAAATCCTGTTTTTGATTTTATCGCACATTTTTTGTGTTGTTTTAAATTAATTTTACAAGAGACCATCACTTATAAGCTGTAATTTTACTAAAACTAAAGTACAATGGTATTATATTTTATTCAGGCTGGCTGATTTATGTGTAAATTATTGAAAAATTGTTAACTATTGAACATATATATAAATATAGGTTAAATATTGTAAATTTTATTTAAGTCTTCAAACCGACCCTACATGTCCCCTTGAAATTTTACTTCCCTGTGTAGAAAAATGTCTTTTCGATATATTGTTGTATATCTTGATGTATTCTAGTTTATTATAATTTGTTGCAAGTTTGTTGTTCAAAATGATAATAATACATATGATACACAATAATAGGATAATGATTAACAATACAAAAACCCATATTATGTAGTGTGTATTATTTGAAACATGTAAATAAAAACATTCCACTCAAAGTCGCATGAATTTGTTTGTTTCCGTTTAACTTCCCAAAGTCTTTAAAAAAAGTCAATTTTCTTCAAAAATTTCAAATTTGCAAAGACTTCCATAAAAATTAGAATTTAAAGAATGAGTTGATGGATAGGATTTTCTGTTAACAAAATTTGAACAGTATTGAAAAGGAGGATGATGATTCAAATTCAAATTCAATTCAAAATTTGAACAGTATTGAAAAGGAGGATGATGATTCAAATTCAAATTCAATTCAATTCAAAGGACTTTCAAATTGTAAAACAGTGAGTATATAATAATCAAATTTATTTCATTAGATGTATTTTAACTATTCTTAAAATAAACAAAATTTGATATTATTAAAGTATTGTATAGGCAAAAGAATCACTACATAATTCTAAAGTTAAATTTATACCCGAAAGAAATAATCAACTGGGCAGCATAACACTACTGCTTGCTGTTGTCTGCAATAATGAATGAAATAAATAAATTTAAAAAAAGGGTAAGTTATATATATATATATATATATATATATATATATATATATAACTTACCTTTAAACTTTCCAGTGTTGAAGTCCAATCTTGAGCAGCTAAGTTCGGTATTGAATTTACAATTAAATCTGCAATAACTTTAACATTCTTCTTAAACATCGCCAGGACATCTGCAACACAGACACATTCTCCAGAATCCCTCCAGCAATCATAATCGGTTACCAGAGCTACAGCCGCATATGATAAACCCAACTCCTTTGCTAACACCACCTAAGTAAAATGAATTAATTTAATATTATATAATATATATATATATATATATATATATATATATATATATATATGTATTACATTTATTACTTATTATTACCTCAGGTACAGTAGTCATGTTAATCACATGAGCCCCCCACTGCCTGAACATTCTACTTTCAGCTCTTGAAGAAAATCTAGGACCTTCAATAGTAACAACCGTACCAGTTTCATGATGGTTTATATTCAAAGACTTTGCAGTTTCTATCAGAACATTTCTGGATTTTGAACAAAAAGCTGGGTACATCGGCAAATGACATACTCCTACAGGAGATTTATATCCTCCATCATAAAATGTACTAGCTCTTTTGGTGGTACGATCTATAAAATCATCTAAGATTACTAAGTCGCCGGGCTTATAATTTTCTTGCAGAGATCCAGTGGCTGTTGATACTATGATGTGTGTGCAGCCGGCATGGTGGAGTGCCCAGATATTGGCTTGGTAGTTAATATTAGTCGGCATGATGCTGTGGTTTCTACCATGGCGTGCAAGTAACACACAAGGGACGTTTTTTATGGTGCCTTTTATTAGGACATCAGAAGGAGCTCCGTATGGAGTATCTACTGTGAATTCTTCTCGGTTTTCTAAAATGTCAGGATTGTCCAAGCCGGAGCCTCCAATTATTCCCACCTAGTAAGGGAAAATATAAATGTCATAAGAAGGAGGATATGTAAACTTTTTTCATTGATACATTACTGTTTTTTAACTCTTGTATATTCAAAATGTGATAAGTTTTTATTTTACTTAGCATTAAATAAAATTATAAAAATAGGAAAGTGCAAATTAATACATAAGATTAAGCGTAACAAAATTAAAACATGCATATCGATAACTATAAATAAGAAAATACATGAGCACAATACTAGACAATAGGAAAATTATCATCTAAAACAAACGAGAATAAATAAAACAAGGAGGAACACTATATGAGTGCTATGAAATTATTCAATAGGCTTCCGAAAGAGGTAAAGATGACCAAAGAAGAGAATAAATTTAAAATTAAGTTAAATGAATATTATAAAAAAATCTAGATAAATAAACTAGACCAAAGTATGAATGTAAAAATGAATATATGTATGATTGAATTATAGGATAAATGATATAAAATGCTGTAATGATTAAATCATATGAAGAAAATATATATATATATATATATATATATATATATATATATATATATATATATATAATGTATATATTAATACTTTGAATAATATTTTGGACCATCTCTTATACTAATCATATTACGGATATTATTTTCATGTAAATTTTATCCTTTGCACTTTTATTTATTTAAATTTATGTTATTATTTATCAATAATACTAGATGTTAATAATTTAACAGTTGTAATAATTATTGAAATTAAAAAAAAAATCTCTTATACTAGGCAAAATTCAAATAAAGAAAAAAAAAATGACATACCGAAGGTGTCTTTTTTACAAAAACTTATTAGTGTTAATTTTAAATAATTGAAATAAATAAATAAACTAGAATATAAAATTACAAATACTTATTATAATATACCTTAATCTTCGGTGTCATTTTATAAATTTGTGGATGAGCTTTCTGTTTAAAAACTGTGTTCTAACCCTAACCTCAAAATTATATTTTTTTTGAGGTTGAATTATTCGTTTATTGATTATAAGTATCACTAATCACTAAACTAACAAGAACTATTAAAGTAAAACTAGTGAAATTATGACAATGGATCAGAAATTGACCATAAATATTTAAAATAACTTATATAGATAACCTATTGACCCTTTTAGTTAACCATCTAATTCCATCATGGCAGTTACTTCAGTTAAGTTAAACGTCAAATTGAACATCAATATTTTTTATATAAATTCAGTGTAACTTTTTTTACGATTTTGGTTATAATTTATTTCAAGTAAGTATATTGAATATTATATTGCTTTATTATAAATTGTTTTTTATATTAGTAACAATTGTTATAACTAGGGGTGAAAGGCATCGTGTCTTTAGGCAAGTTGCAGAAACTTCCCGTAGCGTAATTGAAAATCTTTGTACGGAACCCAAAAAATTTACACAAAATGTGTACACATTATTGAAATCTCTATAAAATATCTGATAATTTGATGTACCAGACATATGTACATAAACAATTTTGACCGCCTTTTTCAAACTTATTTTTATTGAGAGTCCATAACCGCTGGACCTGCCTTCCACCCAAAATTTTAATCAGTTCTTCATCTTATCAATACAAGTAAAATGTTTTTTGAATTACTAAAATCGGACGCCCCGTTCTCTTAAAAACTGAGTTACCGTTTTGGTACTTTTTGCCCCGTATCTTCGGAACAGCTAGACCTGTCTTTGCCAAAAACTAATTAGCACGCCTCCTTATCAGTAGGAATCGAATGTGTTTCGAATTATACAAATCGGTTGATCGATGTTCCCGAAATCGTCGACGCAAATTTGTATCCACACACACACACACATATACACATGCAAACATTTTTTCTAAAATTTGCCAAAATATTCAGAAACCTCTGAAACGTAAAGATATAAAAAGTTTAATTTTCGATTTTTTTGCGATTACTATAACTTACCCTACGAGAAGTTAAAAATTGTATCCATATATACATGGTCTGTTCAAAAAGTACCCGGAATTACTAATAATTAAATTTCGCGGGCCTGGAGTGTCTGATTGTCAAAAAATTTTTTTATTGTGTTGGTATACATGCCCCTAAAGTATGATGAAATTTTCAGCTATATTCACTGTTTACTTTGTCTGTGGTAGTCGCTAAGGTTCGACGTGTTTTCTGAGCTCGGCGATTTTTACAATGGAAGAATTGAAAAAGTCAAGAATTTGTATTAAATTTTGCGTAAAAAATGAAATAAAGTGTTGCAAAGTGCAAAATTCACCAGATATGGCTCCGTGTGACTTTTCCTATTCCCAAAGTTAAAGAGACCCATGAAAGGACGGCGGTTTTCCTCGATTGAAGAAAATCGCTGAGAGTGCTCAAGGACATATCAAAAAGTGAATATCAAGGGTGCTTCGAAAATTGGAAAAAACGCTGGCATAAGTGTATTATATCTGGGGGGGACTACTTTGAAGGGGACCACATTAATGTAGACGAATAAATAAATTTTTTTTGAAAAAACGAAAATTACGAAAACTTTTTGAACAGACCTCGTACACATACACACACATCATTTTTTTTAAGGTATGCCAAAATGTTCAGAAATCTTTGAAACGTAAGATATATAAAATTTTTAACTTCTTTTGGGGTAAGTTATAGTAATCGCAAAAAATCGAAAATGCAAATTTTTATATATCTTTACGATTCAGAGGTTTCTGAACATTTTGGCATACCTTAGAAAAAATGGATGTATGTGTGTGTGTGTGTGCGGATACAAATATTCGTCGACGATTTCGAGAAAAGGATTATGACTAAGGGAGTAAATTAATAAATTATGAGTAATAGTTGTAATTAAATGTAAAAAAATAGTTATACATTAAGAGGATGGTGCTTAAGATATCTAAAGTATAATGATACTTTCCATAAAATTAACACTTTCCATTAAATATTTTTAAAATAAATTATATTGATTTAGTTTTAAAATTGTACATAATTAAACATTACACGTCACATTACAGAGTTTTTTTGGTATATATTTTAATTTAAACATAGCGTAAGACCCAGCTTGATTATTTTTTTTTATTTTGTTTAGCTGCTGAAGATTTGTTATTTCTTATCAATAAAACCTGGCACGAGCATTTAAAAAAAATCATTTTTTTATATATTCACTGCCACTTTGTTTCCTTTAGTTTCTAATCTTTTTTAAATCAAGCATCTGTTGCAGTTATATTGAATGGATTTTTTGCTAAGGTGTTAATCATCTTTTCGATCTGTTATTATTATTTCTTCAAAAATCGCAATCTGGCTTTCGCATGAGATACTCCTCCATCAGACATTGACTGCAATCGTCTGCAGTGTCTGTTACATAACTGGCGCTCGTGCAGTCGTCGAATTCTGGACAATTTTCATCCAGATTTGCCAAGGGTCCTCCTGGACTGCTGGAGCAATCATCAGATGTCCAAGTGTTATTTCTATTGATAATTGGACGAGGAACTGGTCTTGCAAAGTCGTTTGCGTTCATCCAGCGGTCTATTTCACGTCTGGAAATGTAAATTAAACTAGTTGGTATTGGTATTTGTCTTGAGGCAAGTTGCATGAACTTTTCGAAGTTCTATAAGATCATGATATATATCGCCAAAAAAGTTCCATAAAAATCGGCTTACATTTTTTTTTCAACAGTTAATTACGAGAAAACGGCTCGGTAGATTTTCACCTAAAACTAATCAGTATCATTATCAACTAATATTTTTTGAACAGTTTTTTATTTTTTAAAAACGATTCGGTAGTATGAGCTTAATTGTAGACGAAAAGTTCAACACTTTTTCGCAAATTACAAAGAAACGGTTCGGCAGATCGTCGCACAAAACTGGCAAACGATAGACCTCATTGAGATACTTGATTGGCTTTTAAAATTTTGAAATCGGTTCAGGCGTTTTTGAGAAAACATCGATGTGAGGTCTAATTTTGACAAATGCCAAAAAAACGATACTAGTTTTTGCAAACTTTGACGAATTTTAAAAATTAAATGGCTTGTCGTAGAGCCGTAATATTTTAGTATGATCTGAAAGACTATAGTATATACCGTCTCGAAAAAAAATCTTCAACACTTTATTACAAGAAAACGGTCCGGCCGATTTTTACCAAAAACTATCAGCACGATTCCCAACTTATATAATTTTGAACGGTTTTTGAATTTTCAAAATCGATTCAGAATTGCGGGATAAAACGTGGACAAAACATTTTTCACTTTTCTGCGATTCACAAAGAAACGGTTCAGCTGATCA